GATTTTCTATTTATGTCTTTGGAAACAGACAAAAAATCTTTTATTTTTGGTAATCAAGTGTTTTTCTGCTCACTTATGTTGAGAAATCTGGAATTAAACTTTTTTTGTCACATTTTTGTTGTTTTGATAAGTTTTTATGGAAATATTGGTCCTGACTTAGTGACATTATTTATGTATTTTTAAAGTGAAGTTTTCTAAATCTGAGCATTGTAATATACATTTAATCAAAGTYCTGTTCTTATGTTTCACAGCTACTATTATGTTTTATTTTGATGGATTTTACATGAAACACTATAAATTAAAAGGTGTCTTATTTTTCTTTGCATGAACAAACTGAGTCACACCTTCAGTGGCTCTGCCCTGATAAAACTCCTCTGTGTACTGATTAGTCAGAAACATGACGAGGCTTGAGCTGGACCGGGTTTAGTTTTAGCCATGATTCAATGATGGAGCCCAAGGACGAGAAAACGTCAAATCAAATCAGATCACTCAGGCTGTGAAGTGACTGAAGTACGTGATGATGGAGCTAAAGCCATTTGTTCATGACTGTGTGCGGGCTGCTGCGAGGAAAAAAAGAGCCGGACTGACAGGATATGTGAGCAAACATTTTGTTTTTTTCTGATGGTCTGGATGAACTTCCAGGGAAACCTCCACCCCCTCCTTCCTCCACCATGACTCTTTTCATCATTTCCCAGTTTACTGGTTGTTATAAACTGTCAGAGAAAAACACCAAAGCACTTTTCATTTCAGTAAAAATGAAACTGAGATAAAAAAAAAACCAATCTATGTTTTCTTCAGTCTCCTGTCTTCCATCTACACAGCTCAGATTTGACTTCTCTGTGGTCCTAAGCATGTTTTTTAGTCCTTCTCAAGGGCGTAACTTTAGGTATTATGCTCATTTATTGAATTATTTAYTTTTGTAAAACGATTCTGGATATTTTGGGGTAAAATACGTTGCAGTGCTTTTACTGTGATTTACGTAACTTTCCTGTTTTCTTTGTATTTACTCTGCACTTTTTCTGTTCCATGCTGGTCCAACTATTTAGAAAAGGTTTATTTTTCTTCTCAATTTTTCCCAACAGTAACAAATATTTTACACTTATAGGATGTATGATATGACATACCTAAATTTCTCAATTTTTCCATGAGTATTTGCAAAGTGCACACTACAATATGTGTAGGAAAAATGACAACACATGGTTGAACAAATACAGCCATGRTGTGACGAGAGCAGACTAAAACCCTGCATGTTTTTTTTTCAGCAGTTATGCTAAAACGTACATATATGACATTGTAATTTTGAAATAAGTTTCCTTAAAGACAAGAGAGTTGCAGCTGTGTACTTAAACAGTTAATTTCTATTGTGATAGAGCAAATGATGTAATTGTATTGGGGGTGATGGTGGGGTGTTGACTGGATCAAATTACTGTAGGAGTCATTAAC